CACATCTATATTTTATGATAGAGATCTGTCTTTTTGCTCAAGTGTGTGTCTTCATCACTTTGTAGTACTCCTAGGCGGACATTTCTTCATTCTCGTAGGGCACTGTCACATTGCTTTATTTCCTATTTTATAGTGTCATGAATGTTTTTCGTGCACATGTGTTTCAATGTTGTAAAACCTAAATGTTGTTGCCATTGAAATTTAATGAACTATCATGTTTTTGAAATCACAAGCGTGAAGATAACTTTGGTAATCTTGTCACGTGTGGTTAATGTGAATCTGTATTACATACAGCTTACACACTGAAATGTGTTTAACTCTCGGGAGGCTAATGTGGAGATTGATCCCGGAGAGTAAATCCACGAGATTTGTTATTTGATTCGCCTCAGAAATGTTGTTAGCTTTCTGGGCGCGTCGATTGTTCCAAGCATAGATTCCAGAACTGGTTCTGTCTGACTGATTGTCATTTTGAGTCTGTACGAGAGATGGCACCTGACGTAGAAGACTTGACTATCATTACAGGACGTGTAGAGGAAGGCAGAAGATGTAACAGTTGGAATGTGAGACATAAGCCCTTCCAAATTGGACAGGAGTGAATGTGAGCATGAGGGAGAGATGAAATGTTTTATTTAAATAAACATGCTTGATGTTAGTATAATATACATGCTTAGTGTACATCTAGAGCAGATACTACAAATATGCGCTTGTTTCTTCATTCTCCAGTTCCCACATTGGGCAGGGACTAGTAGGCATCCATTATTTGCCGACCGTCGAGTGTAACGACCTGCAGAAAGCAGTGAGGACGACAAACTGGAAAAGATAGGCAGGGTCTCAAGCCGAGAACTGTCCTGACGGTGAATTCTCCTACTAGGAGTTAAGTATATGTACAAACTGTCATCATTCACATCATTCCAACTCTACTAGCCTAAACAAGTTCATTGTATTTTAATTTCAATTTATTAAATAAATCTTTTTGATGTCGTAACAACATTACTTGAGTAAATTGTGTACTTAGGTTCAAGTGTCTTTGTGCATATTAGTTTACTTCAGCTAACAAATATTTAAATCACTTGATGGGGGCTTTTAAGTAATGCCAGGAGAGGAGACCAGTCGCAGGGGTTAAATGAGCACCTGGATTATTTCATAGTGGGTGTATCCAGAAATCTATCTATCCCTTCTCCTACTCCTGTGGATACAAGTACAGCAACTTTCATTTCATGGAACGAGCCACTCGCTGTTTTCTTGGCTATCCAGGACTGTCTAGGATCAACATAGCTTAGATAATAGTCCAGTTTCTCACGTGGGTGGGCATTGTTAAGGTTCAAACCCACACCCTCACTATTTCAGTGTATTTACCCACGTGGGCGCGCGACAGTCCCATTGCTGCTGTATTTATGGTGTAAGAGAAGGAAAGTGCTCTAAACAAAGAGATTGTACTATACTAAGGCTAAGCTACATTGAAATCATCGCAGTTACAGTCTGTATTTAACTGTACAGAGTAAATAGTAAATTGCGGGAGTGTAATGGCTCATTTTTTGGCCTTTTTTTCTTTGAAATTTTGTTCAGCACTCTGTGAGCCCCTGAGTGCTAAACTAACCCAGAAACTTATCATAACTTTGGAATATGTTAGAAAATTGAACAAACTGAAGTTTTTTCTCACATTTGGATATTCACTACTCTTTTGGCTGCAAACTCATGATTAAGTGAAAAATTTGTTTTTAAAATGTTGTTATAAAAGTAACACCTGCTGAATTCTTCTTTCCTACTAACTATAAAAAAATTAAACATACACTTTCATCAGGTTCAAAATTTACATTCATTTCTCTTTAAAAAAATATATACTTTTATTAGGATTAGAAGTATATTACATTACCTATTGCCTTTCTTGTACACCGACCCCACTGCCATTTTTGTAAAGGGAAATTAATATGGGCCAAGTCTGTCAAAATTCATGGGCCTGAATAAGTCAAAGAACAAAAGTGTGCTTATAGGGTTCATGTGGTGCCACCCAAAGTTAGCAGCATTTAATCGCTTTTTTTTTCAATTCAATTTTTGACGTGTTCATCGTATTTCCTGGATCTGCCATAAATTTAATTTTTGAAATCGTGCTTATTCATCATTCTTGGTATTGTGTTGCGCCAAGTGGTTCAACAAACACTAGCATTACTTGCCAAGATTGCTTGTTGCAGTCAACATTGTTCAACTTTCACTTTAAATTGCTGTGTTTTAATATTATAAACTGTGTGAATTTACTGGAAACAAATTCGTGAGTATTGACTATCACTACCATAATCTTCTTCCAAATGGCATACATTACAAACATCAAGGTCGCTCCAACCAAGTCTACTTACCGAGACCTGCATAAGCCTGACACCTTTGTGGTGACAGTGAGAGGCCCCGGAGCCTACAAGCAGGCCAATCATGGAAACCTAATGTCGGTCCTGATTGGCCCGGGAGGCATACCCCCACGCCAAATCCGGGATCTGTACAGACTGCAGAACCCAGTACGGTTTTACCCACCACAAAAGACATCCCGCATTACGCCAGAATCGAGACACCTGGGATACAGCCTTACACAATCCACATGGCCATACCGGGCAGACCCACACCGTGCCCTGTGTGTAGACAAGAAGGGCACTGGGTGAGCAGCTGTCCGGAGAAAGGGATGAGACGAGGTCCAGGGCCGGCATGGGGGAAACCCCAAGACAACACCACAGCCTTCCAAAATTTTGGCGGGGCAACCAACCCAGGTTGCACCCCAACCAAAAGGGCAGACAACTCCCAATGTGATGCTGAAGGTTTCTACACGCCTGTGGGAAGAAATAGACGTGGGAGTGGCGGACATGTTGTAAGGCAGTCTCCAGCAGCTCAACCAGTGTCTTAACTGAGAACTTCTTTCAACCTCTGGCGGACGACTTCCCGCAGCTTTTGCCCACTGATACTCTAGAGGCAACCCAAACAAA